CGGAGTGATGTAGGAAAGGATGAAGAGAAGGATAGGGGATAGATCAAGGCATTTGGAGACGTCGATTGACATTACATTTGGATAGTTGGAGATTATAGCTATCAGGGAAACAAGAAAAAGGGAGAGTTCCACAGGCGAGAGGTGCGAGACATGAAGCTATTGGAGTAGAAGAGACGGCTACACTTAAGTTTCGACAGTGAAAGGGTGAGAGCGATATGCCAACCTAGTTGAACGCTTAAATTCATGAAGTCTGGAAACCAGCGAAAGCAGCTCATCAGAGCAGTTACCGTGAAAGTATTTGTAAAAAAAGACAGGGAGGCGACGGCACGTCTGTGAGAGAGCGACTGCAGACGAGATGTCAGATCAGGGCCAATTACATTGCATATCCATCTTTCGCTAGAACGGACTGAATGTGAACAATTATAAAGACAGCTACATGAATATCGACTGAAAGTATAATTTTCTCACACTTCGAATGCTATACATCCGTGAACAATAGACAATTTCTTGTCAGATGAAGAGGAGGCTTGAGGTATGAGAGCTATAGATATACAGAATGATGCTGAGAATATCCTGGATGGAGCATGTAAAGAGTGAGAATTTTAACGAAAAAGAAAGTCAAGAATCGGAAGCACGCTGAAATTTCTGACATAATGAGGAAAGAAGGCTTGTGGAATTTAACACTTACAGGACATCTTGAATGCTAGGGTAGAAGAGGGAAACAGCGAGTAACCTACATAAATGGATGTCGGAATAGAAAATGGGAGGAAGACCGAGATGGTAAAAATTTCAGAGAGCTACAAACGATAGGTAGTTGTGGGCACCATGATCGTCTACGTCCTGAAAGGAAAACAACCATTTAAAGAACACAGCAATTAAATAAAAACACAGGAACTGAGTACAATATTGTTAAAACTGTTTCATATTTTTCAAGATGTTATAATGAAATAAAGTAACCTATACTAAGATCTTCATTTTATTGATTGGTTGGTTTTGTTTAGCGGCATATCAACACCTTTATGGGCTATTTAATGCCGAAATCGAAATATTTTGAATGCAATTGTATACCTTCAACTAAAGATAAAATGTATTTTTGGTCATTTTACTATAAATATGTATTGTGCTCGTTGTTTTTTTTATATAAAAAAATATATATTGTTGGTATTTTTACTATAAAATTGTATTTTTGTACTTTCATTGGGTCTTTTTTTTTGTTTGGTGGGGTCACTATTTCCCCGTAGCTGGGACCCTAACTGTTGCTACCATCCCGAGGACAGGGGTGACCAAAGAACAGCAATTAAGAGGTGGGTCCAGGCTCCTCAAAATCTCCACTCTCCCGTTCAGAGGTTTTGCTGTTGGATGTAGTTTACCATCATACTTAGATATATCTTCATTTTCGGAACGGGTTTTTTTTTTTTTTTTTAAATATATCTTACAACTGATGTAACAGCTCAATGCGGAAAAAAACCGGCTTGTAACTTTAAATACGTCAAAAACCAAGCTAGTTTTGTTTCATTATCGCCGATCATACTGAACGGTTAGGCTCTCAATAAATCTCCATGCTTTGAATGACTGATAGGTCTCTTGACTGCAAATCTCAAGTGGAACCTATAGTTTAAAAAAAAAAATATTTAACCCAGGCAAGGTAATAAAGTCACTAAGACGCAAGGGTTTTTTGGAGTGTGAACGAATAAGAAAAAAATTATTTAGAAGCCAATCTTTCACATATTGAGGGCCTGTCCGCTTGCATTCAGTCAGTTATGTGCCATGCGTTATACTCGCTTAGGCGATCATGTATCTTTCGATATGACTGACGAGGCAGATTTTTTCCCGCAGTAGGTTGCCATTTCTTTCTGTGGTAGACCAGTTGCCATCCAAGGCTACAGAACCCGGTCTGTCCTGCTATTTACCCATAGCTGGGGGAAAGAAGAGGATTTATACCTTTCCCAAGGGTATTAGTATGTAAGTGAATGTAATGGATTCGACTGGAATTAGAAATCCGATTCCTGAGTCTCTGCTCCGCCTGCATTAAAATTCAATATTTTAGCTTATTATTTCTTATTTTTTTTAATCATTTCACCCCAAGCAAGGCAACAAAGCCACTAACATGCAGAGGAGTTAATGAGTGTAAAATAATATAAGAAAAACATTATCATAGAGCGAGCCCAATAAAAGAACAGGCGTTAAGAAGACAGTAGACAACGATTGGCATTGGATTTAATGTTTTAAAGATGAAACTTGATTAGAAAGCAAGAAGCCCAAAGAGAGTTCCACAAGCGAAAAGTGAGATAGAAGAAACTGTTAGAATAGAACTTACGGTAACATCTGGTCATTTCAACTGCAAAATGATGAGATCTTGGTGCCAATCTAGTACTGCACTTAAATTCATAACATCTAGGTACAACTGAGGAGAGTAATATTTATCTTGAGTAATACAAAAATGTGGCACAAGGCCAGGAGTGGGGGAAAGGGAAATCCTGGTCTTTAATCCGTCTTATCTTAAACTTAGCTAGCCACGATTAGAAACCCAAACATACAATAGTATTCCTTACACCAAAACAACACATTCTTACTTACCATTCTTACTACGATCATGCGGTATTGTGAGGGATACTTATTCTCCATAGAGATCCTCCCCGGCCACAGACAGAGCATTGTAAGCCTCTCGTTGCTTGATCATTATTTCAGTGGCAAATATTCAGATCAAATAAGTTCCGTTCTTTAGTTTCGGCATTTCAGTTCACATTATGCTACTTCCAAGGAGGCGAGTCCTCCTCATTTTCCCCAGGTTCCAAATGTAAGAAAAAAAGTTCCACTCAGTAGTTCTTTGGCGGGTATGAGGGAGCTGTCTATGTTCATGAAACACTCTAATATTGATGCTTCCTTGAACATAACAATCTTAACGGTTGACTCTCTACTTGAAGAGGTTATCTATATTAAAATGACTGACAAAGTACTTGCCCTCATCATGAAAAGCAAAACACTGTCCGATAATATCATTGGCTATGAATACTGCGATAATGTAGTGGCTGTTTGCATGAATTATAAAAAAAAAAACGTGTCTGTCTCAGCAGGCCACGCATCATTTGCAATAGCACAACCGAATTCATAGTTTTACCATTTTTTTTTATCAGGGAAGTACTTATAAAAAAAACAACCCTTGACAACAGTATTAACACGACCGAAATGCACTGGTCGTATTCAGAAATTAATAATTCTTTCAACAACTAATCCACATTCAATAAAGGGCTCAAAAACTACTCAAGGTAGACGGTTAGTGTGTGGTGTTGTAGGATCGTAATAAAAGGCAAAAAGTGAAGTTAATAGGGTTATGTAGGAAAGATAACGGTTAACCGTATATTTGTAGATGTCAAGATCGTAGTGATTGGTAAAACATCCTGTTGGGAGTTTGTTCCCCAAAGCAAAAGTTCTTGGGAGGAAGCTGTACAAATGGAACTTACTTCTTAGAGACGGATATACAACGTGGTTGGTCCTGGCATCTCGTCTACAGTCATATTCTCACAGACGTGCTGTGGCTTCCCTCTGTCTTTTCTACAAGTATTTTCATGGCAACTGCTCCGACGAGCTACTTTCACTGGTTCCCAAACTGCATGAATTTAAGCGTTCTACTAGGTTGGCATCTCGGTCCCACCTTTTCACTATAGAAACGACTAAATGTAGCCATCTCTTCTACTTCGACAGCTTCTTATCTCGCACCTCCCATCAGTGGAACTCTCTTATCTCTTGCTTCCCTGGTAGCTATAATCTTCAAATATTCAAGTGTAATGTCAATCGACATATTCTGATGCCTTGATCCCTGTCCTTCTCTTTATCCTTTTCCTCAAACACTCCTCTTTAATCTTACTCTCACTCTCTGTAACCCCTTGCAGGCTAGGGGCATTCCCGCCTTGCTTTGGGCGATCTGCTTGAACCCCCCCCCCAAAAAAAAACACACAAACGGAAAAGAGAACGATTAACCCTAGACTTGAAAAGGTCAAGATTGTAGTGATTGGGAAAACATACTGATGGGAGTCTGTCCCACAAAGCAGCAATTCTTAAGAAGCTGTCCGAATGAAACTTACTTACTATCCAGCATTTCTTGCTTGTGGAACTCCCTCCCCTTTCCAGAAAATTTTAACCTTCAAAATTTAAATGTAATGTTAATCGCTATCTACTGTCCTCCTGATTACTCTTTTTGTTCCCGATCATTAGTAATGTTTATATTTCTAATTCTTCCACATTCAGTAACCCTTTGTGTCTTAGTGGCATTACTGCCTTGCATGGGGGTGAAATCGATTAAAAATTATATGGTAATAATTCTTGCTTGTTACCATAGCTTCTCGCAATACTTTCGCAAGGATTTTACATTTTGCGCATTGAGTGTGTTTATTGGCATCCTGTGAAAGTTTTTTTTAATTTTATTTATTTATTTATTTTTTTTTTTTTTTGGTGATTAATTTCCTGGTGGTGGGTTCTGATCTCACCACCGAAGTTGTTTTGATTGCGATATTCAGTCCGTTGATCACTTGTAACTGTTATTTCTAGAACAGTGGATTATCAAATAATAGGCATTAATCTATTAGCCAATTGATCGGAAACTGGAATAAGAAAACACTTGATACATCTCCCCACTGCTTCGTGTGTGTGTGTGAGTGAGAGAGAGAGATCACTCTCGACAATTTTCTGCATAGAAACGGGGCTACTGTTCATTCTCTTCACAAATGTTGAATTTAATTTATTTTACGTTGATTTGTTTTTTTTTATGGCTTACCAACCCTTTGCAGGTTATTTAGACAGAAAATATTATTAGATTGTAAGAATCTTTCGAGATAACAATGGTTTAGTTATACAAGTCTTATTAATTAACCCATAGTTGGGGGAAAGGAGGTGGATTCATATCCTTTCCCAAGGGTATTTGCGTGTAAGTTAATATAACGAACCCAACTGGAATTGATTAAAAATTTCGAACCATTATTCATTATACTAACCTCGTATTCAAGCTTACAGCATATGGTATTCCGAAGCGGTCACCTATCTATGTACAGACCAAGCTCAACGTTGCTTAACTTCGGTGATCGTACGGGAATCGGTGTTTCAACGTGATGTGGTCGTAAGCCTTTATGTTACGTAGGAAAAAGTTAATTCGTTGTATTTCGGGCACTGATTTTTGTTTGGTTTCAAATGCAAATCAAAATTTGTAATATGAGTGTCATTAAAAAACTTCGTTACAATGTAAGGGATACAAATTAGTAGTGTCTGTTTATGTAAAAAAAAAAAACCCCAAAAAACAAACAAAAGAACGTTAAAATAGACAATATCAACATTCATTGATACGACTCTGAAGTGGTTTGTTTTTGACATCGTGTTCTCATTTAAAACTGTTGACGTCTCTTATGCTGGGTTCATATGTGCTTATATTGAATACATATTTTAACGATCTCATAAAAAAATAAAAAACAATATGCGCGCGCACACACACACACACACATATATATATATATATATATATATATATATATATAAAAATATATCTTATATAAGACAGAGAGAGCAGTGATCAGTAGTCCTGGGTATGACGATAAACTACATCCGACAGCAAGGCCTATGATCTGGGGATTGAATGTTTTGTGGAGAATAAAACCATCACTTAATTGATGTTGTTCCCAGGTTCACCCTGTCCCAGGATGGTAGCATCTGTTAGGGTCCAAGCTATGGACAAATAATGACCTCCCCTCCCCAAACAAAAAAAAAACACTATGAAAATATAAAAATACATTTTTATACTAAAATGACCAAAAATACATTTTATCTGTAGTTGAAAGCATACAGTAGTGTTAAAAAATATTTAGTTAAAGCCACCAAATTCTGTTCAAATATTTATATTTTGGTATTAAATAACCCATAGAGGTGTTGATATGCCACTAGACAAAATCAAATAAACAAACGGTGATGAGAATGACACGTTACAAGTTTAAAAAAATTTTGAGGAACAGCGCAAAGTAACTCAAAAGACAGACGAAAAAAATACTCAAAAGACAGACGAAAAAAATACTCAAAAGACAGACGAAAAAAATACTCAAAAGACAGACGAAAAAAAATACGCAAATAAATGAATAAAAAAGATGAAAAATAAACTTACCAAAGTGAAATTGAAAGATAATTTGGCCAAAACTCAGAAAAGGTAATTTTAATTAAAGTCTGAAATGAATTGCCAATAATGTTTAAGACGTACATTAAACCACAATGATGTATTGTAATCGTGTTCGTGATCGTACAGAACTGGCCTGTTGGTATGTGATAAGCGGGTGAATGAATGACAATTTGGAGCGAAATGTAGGTTTTAAAATAAAATATAAGGATTAACCTATATAACTAATGGTTTGTATGTATGTATGTATGTGTGTGTATGTACGTGTGTGCGTTTTCTTCAAAATTGCCCGAAAGCCAAACCATCTTACTCAAAGCATGGACTAAAAAAACTCAAACGTTTGCTTTTAAGCGCCCATTCGAAAAAAAAAAAAATAAATAAAATAAAATAAAAAAAGGTTCCCTAACACTGCTTCTCTTACCTCCGCCCCCGACGAAAGCTGTAAGGAGAGAAACTGTTGCTTCAAATGCTCACCACAACCACTGCAATTACAGACACCCCCACTATTCCCACTCTCATCATTTCTACTATGACTAGTGTTCATATCGACAAAAAAAACAAAACAAAAAAAATTTTCTTATCAAATTAGTTACTTGTGCTTCAGAAGAACGTTATTTACTAAGATCAGCTGAGTAGAGCAAAAAAATTAATAAAGAAAAATAGAAGAAGATTGTGCTGCGCCATTCTTCCAACTTGGGAGGATCTGCTTATCTTTGAGATAGAGAATTTGAAAGCTTAGTTTCAGTACAGACTACTGGTGTTGATGGCAAAAGGGCTCCGTCTACCCAATTTCACTCGCGAGGCTTGGGTCAACCCAGGGTATAGGATATTCCAAAGTGGCCGCACGCTGGGATCCAGTCCTATAATATCAGGAAGTCTCTTTTCTGAAAAATCGACTATGGTGAGATTCGAACCCGGGTCTCATGGTAAAAATAGAAAAGTTCTTACAAACCAAAAGTTTAAAAACCTCAAGTGTCAGAAAAGGGAGTTTTCTTTTCCTATTTAAAATTTTTTTTTTTTAATTTTAAGCTTTTATCTCTTTCTCTGCTGCGTCTCTTCAGTTCTTGAGCGATCATGGCTCTCCACAGCTTTCTGTTTTTTTTTGTTGCTCTTAACATTATTCTCTCTATTGTGCAACCACTTTCTCTTTGTAATTCATGTTCCACTCGTTTTTTAATGCTATGTCCCCTCAGGACGCGAATGATCATGGCTCTCCATAGCTTCCTGTCTTTTATTTCTCTTATTTTATTTCTACTCTAATAATTAATCAGTTTCAGAAGTTTAAATATATATCTAGCGGAGAACGGTCGTTCGCGTGCAAACCTCACAGACAATTGCTACGAATAGCCTTATTCTCATTGGGTGTATCTACTATGGTGGCCCTGTGTCAGACTAAACCCAGATAAGTAAATATCTCTTCGAAAGAGGCGCATACAGACAGGAATGATCATACCACACACACACACTGACCTAGATAAATTCAATCTGCACATATGACATTATGTAAACTTTTTAACTTGATATTTGCTCGAAAGGATGAGGCACGGAGGAAGTTGAGGGCAAATTCCAGTGTGTGTGTATATATATATATATATATATATATATATATATAATGTGTGTGTGTTGCAATAAACGATATATATTTAGTGGATGTACGTATTTGAGTAGACATTCAAGCCTGTAGATGTTTGTTTAATGGCATATCGATTCCTTATAGGTCATTTAATGCCGAAATTTATTTTTCTTGGAAGCATAGAAGTGATAAAATAAATGTTCTTCTTTCACTAGTGAATATATGGTAGCTGATACTCATCTTTTATGCAAATACATATTTGTGAGGACATGATTACTAGAGGCGGTGATATGTGTGTTTTATGTTGTACTTTTGTTGAAGTTATATTTTCGAATACAGTTTGATTTCTTTAAGAAATTCTAAGATATTATATGGATTAATGTCATGAAAGTGTTCTTTCATATTGATTGTGTGGTTGATTTTGTTTAGCAGTATATCAACCTCTATAAGTTATTTAATAACGAAATCTAAATATTTTGAACACAATTTTATGGCTTCAACTAAATATTTTAAATGCAATTGCATGCCGTCAACTACAGATAAAATGAATTGTTGGTCATTTTGCTATAAATAGGTATTATTGGTAAATTTACTATAAAAATGTATTTTTATACTTTCATAGTTTTTTTTTTTTTTTTTTTTTTTTTGGGTTCACTATTTGCCAAGAGCTGGGATTTGCTGCCATGTGCAGTTTATCGTCATACCCAGGACAAGTCTGTAGATGTTCCCATTTACCCAAGCTCGTTAGTTATGTTATTCAGTTTCCCTTCTAGACATCGGCGATCATGGCTCACTATAACTTCCTATCTGTTGTAGCTCTAGGCAATGTTTATCTCCTTACTATTCTTCCCATATCCTGTTCTGTAATCGATTAGCTTGTAATCGTTAGCTTGTTTCCCTCTCGACTATCAATATGTCATCAGAATATAAAATTCTCCAAGCCGTCTTTCTTCATAATGAACCAGAAACTTCAAAATTGTTTATACTTTTCTTAAGTCTTCCTTGCTACTCAGATCGACGCCCCCCTAAAAAAAAACCCCAAAAGAACAAGATGAGATATCATTAGACATGAATTAAATATTTGTTCATCTTTTATCCTTTCCTCAATCCCCTCCCTATATCCAATCTTTTCTCTCACTTTCACTCTCTGTAACCCCCTACATACTAGTGGCATTCCCATCTTGCTTGGAATGAAATGCTTCAAAAAATCTACCCTCGTGGATTAAATAAAGGTATTTACACTATTTACATCGTTCGGACTGTTCTCCACATCTTTATTGCCATATTCACGACGTTTCGGTCGTTGTACGCGCCAACCTTCTTCAGATGATGTACGTTAGAATTTCGAACCGAACCCTTTAGCCAACGGGGGTAGATTGTAATAATTCCACGCATATTTTTTTTTTTTTTTTTTTTGATATCTCAGTTTTAATTAATTCCCTTTAGTAACTCTCCAGTTTTTGTCCCCTCTACTGTGGCCAGGTATTGAACTCACAACTCTTTGGATCAAGTTACTTTCTGGATTACTCAACCAACGTTTTTATCAACTGGGCCATGTGTCTTTAGAGACAACAGCGTTCGGTTCGAAATTCCAACGTATGTCACCTGAAGAAGGACGGAGCGTACAACGGCTGAAACGTCGTGAAGATGGCAATAAAGATGAAGAGAACAGTCCGAACGATGTAAATAGTTACAATATAGAAATATAGACAGATATTAAATAAATAGTTCAGTTCTAAATTCGTTGAAAGTTATTCGGTTCTATAGACACTTGAAGTAGGCCGGAGAGTAAATCAACCGATATGTGCTGATAACAACAAAGGCGAGGAGATCATTTACTGTCGAACTAATGTAAATAATGAAATGTGGAGATTCTTAACAGAATCCAATGAATCTGCGATATTATCGGCCCTGACCTGGAATTTCCTTTTTAGTCATTTTCACACCGCCTTAATATAGCTTCCCTGTGCTTTTTCTATAATTATTTTCAAGGTAATTGTTCTGGTGAGGTTTCATTTTTGGTATCACGACTTTTCGAATTTATGCACTGTACTAGATTGGCAGTTCGGTCTCATCATTCTACTGTTGAAACTGTTAAGTAATCATAAGTTCTATGCTAACGTTTCGCTTGTAATTCTCTTTCGGTTTCTTACTTTCCTGTCAATTAAGACCTTCCAAAATGTAAATGCAACATCTATTGTTATTTTCTGCTTCCTTTAATCCTGTTCTTTTTCGCAGTTTCTTTCAGTCTCAGTAGCCGCTTGCGTCTTAGTGGCTTTCTAGCCTTGTTCGGGTGAAATGATTAAAACACAACAAAAAACAAAAACAAACTCGTCTAAAGAGGTTTTTATTTCTCGAAACGAAACATATCACTGAGAATTTTTTCCTCCTAT